GAGATATGCCCTGGAGATCCTGGGGGTGCATCTCTGTAAGCGGGGAAAGCCAGGCAGGTGCTCCCAGGGTTGAGGGGCCCAATCCTATGCAGAAATTTCAGGGGTGCACAGGACCAGCCTGGGAGAACAGGTCACCCATTGTTCTGCAGCATCAATGGGTGGTACAATGGGCAACATGTGTTTTGTCCCATGAAGGAGATCAGCCCAACACAGCGACATCTCTTTCTACCTTTAGTGTTGGAATGAGATCACCACTCTAAGCTCTGAGTTTATCTGCTTACTTTATACTAAGACCTGGGCACTTCCACTGCTGATATTGCTGTTTATGGAACCACAGTGGTTTGTGTGTCTGTCTGGCTTAAAATTAATAAACTCCCCAACTGTTTTCAGACTGAAAGTCCATACATTTTCTGGTGCAATGATGTCCATTAAGCCAATGCAGAAATTGTCTAAGCTAGTGGTGCTGTTGTCCATGTCATCCATTTTGATCATGCTATGCTGTCGCATGGCATATACAAACTTTTGCAGACCATTGTAGTCCATTGCAGTTCTTGCATCTGTTTCAATTGCTGAGTACATTAGCTTATCTTGTTTGCCACCACATGGACAGCTCCTTGGAGTTTTATTTGTTTGATTATATGAATTAATTCATTCATTCATGAATTTATTTTTGTGGACTCCAGCATCAACCTTCTTCCTCAAGTCCATTTTCTTGTAGAATCGGCATTGTTATAAAGTGTAGTGTCAGAGCACTGCCTCCCTGCCAAAAGCTAGGTAAGTTATTTTGCTTAGAAAATTCTAAATTCTTTGTCAAAGGGTAATTCAAGTTTCTCCAATAGTATCTGTCTGAGTCTTTTGTCCCAGATCCCAAGATTTGTTTACCCCTCCCCCTACCACAAATAAGTGTAAGATTGGCTCTTCATTCTTAGCTAGGTCACAAAGTGTTTTTTTCTGTGTTTACCTTTTTATTGCACTGTCCATTTAAAAGCATCTCTCACATTTCATTTTTACATTCAGTTCAGGACTCAAATTTCTACAAGACAATTACACAATTAGCCCCCTTTGCCTACGTTAACAGGACAATATCAAAAACACTAAGTGCTACAGAACTAGCTGCCATCAGAAATATGGCTCCCTTTTTTGTCTTTCCTTTTATACCCAATTCTTGAAGGAACAGAGCAAAGCTCTATTTAAACTTTTTGTTTTTACTTATCCTCCACATTTGAACTCTGGCAGGACTTTTAACTGTAACATTCTTCCCACCCTGAATATTTTCTTACCTTATTTTACTTTTGGCACCATCTCTTGGTCAGAAATCACAAAGAGCCCAGCAGTCCGACAGGAAAGACCCTTTCAGGCCTATGTTCCCATGTTCCTAAACCCATGTTTGAGGTGTAGCTGATTGGTATTGTATGACATGTGCCTCTGAATCACATATTAACTGATTCTAGTCGCCTTTTGGGAACAATCTACTAAAATGTAGAGGTCTGCACAATAATAGCTTGCTGTTTTACCTACTATATAAAAAAGTACATTTTTCAAAAGTGCCCAAGTGACTTAGGATGACAAGATTCTCGCCCCTTTAAGCACAAAGTAGCACTGTACCTCTGCTACTGTTGGAAGAAGTGACTACTGATTATACAGCAGAATTGCTCACAGCGTATGGTTCCATGCAAATAAAATGGAGAGCATGAAGGCTATCCCAAGCTAAGATGGATTTCAGCTTCTGATATTTCATGCCTTCCTTTTCTTTCTTCATTTGTCCAGTAAAGAGCTCAATGATTTGGTTTTAAATAAGAAAATGTAAAGTTTACGCTAAATTGACAGCTAATCTGAGGTGTTGAAAGTAATCCGTTTATGATATACTTAACTGTGAAAGGTAAAAGGCACCTCATAAAGAGAAGTGACATCTATTTTGTTTAGCTCAGGAGTTTTAAAGTTCATTATTTAAGAGGCAACTCTTCTTGTGTATAAGAGGTGATATGTATCAGAGAATTCCTTTTACATAGTGTTCACTTTATAGATGGTGATGTGATAAAAAGCTGTGCAGCTTTTATAAAGTTAAAATATCATAAAGAGTAGTAGAAAAAAAACTTTTCTTGTGATATATGGAAGTAACTCCCACCCAAGTCAATGTGGTCGTGTGTCTTAGGGTAAGAATTTGGCCTTAAGATTTTAGATTCAATGCATCTTAGCTGAGTGAAGTCTGAATAAAAAATGTGATTAAGACTTTTCATTCTTGAAACATTAAAGCCTTGAGGAGATCTACAAATGAAGTTGGGATAAAGATCTGGTGTCAGTGACAAAAGCTAGCATGTAACAAAATGTCACTGAACTTGGTATTGCCAAATGTAATTAAACTTATATATTTCTTACTTTTATCTTTGAGGGTTCAGGGTTGGCCAAAGTAGCAGGGTACAATAAACTGTTTTATCCCTGGGAAAGTCAGGCAGGTACTCCAGGAGCTTGATGGGCTTGATCCTACTTAGGGAGTGCACAGGATGGGGCCCCTCAAGCTTCCAGACCACCTGCCCAGAGTAGCTAGAGAGCAAGAGCAGCTCCAGCTGCTGACAAACAGACATCCACTGCAATAAAGGGGCACAATCTATTACTACCTTTGTTACTGCCCCAAATTTTGAGCATTTGTGGCATAACAAAGGATACAGATGTCAGATTGCTTCACCTTTTGTGCTGCCATAAAATCTTCTGTTGTGGTGCAAAGGTTTGTTTCCACCCTAAGAGCCCTAGAGTCTGTATGCATATTTCCATGGATAGGACAGCAAGCTTGCTGTCAAAATATCCATCCATAGTGAGGTAATGCAATAGAGCAGGATCATCAAAAACCTCCCATAGGCCAGATCTGGCCTACAGAGCTGCTCCATCTACCTGATGGACTACTGGCAGGCCAGGGGATTTGGGGACATGTCTAGGGGACGGTTTACCCTTTAGCAAGCTGTGGCGTCTTCTTGTCCCACAGCCAGATCTGCCACAGCCACTACTTGCCCTGCCATTGCTGCCTCCACCACAGCCAGTAATTGCCCCACAAATCCAGCCTGGGGCATGAAGGGAGTTTGACACCCCTGCAATAAAGAATCTGTTTTTTCTTACTACAAAATGCCCATTATAGAGAGACCAGAACAAAAACTATACTTGATAAATGTTACTTAAAATGTATAGGAAATAAAATTAAATTATTTTCTTAAAGTATCAGCCAGGTCCTAATGCTGGTGTGCTTAGGATTGATGTGTGCTTGGATAAAGGTTGTACCTAAAATCTAAAATATGAACTTTATGAACCTTTACAAAGAAACCTACAATTAAGAAGCTACTATTAAGTCATTATTTATTTTATGAAACACCTCTTTATTACATGTAATATAGCTACACTGAGGAAGAATATTTTAGAGAACATATATTATTCTGCATTGATAGCAGCTATTAAATACTTCTCTTACTTTCATACGCCTCACCCCCATTTTTTTACTCTTTTTTTAAACATACAACCACTTCATAGTTTGGGTTTTTTCTTTATATTTTTTCAACATGTCCACACTAATCTTTCTATACTGAAAGTTTAAAGTTTTCCACACTTGCCTTGTTTTTCCAATCGCCAAGTCATTAACCAATTATAGCTGGGATCGGGGCCAAAAACAGCTGAGGGTCACAAATAAGATTATCTCAAGTGACACCTCCATTAAATTGCTGAATAATCTTTTCACAGGGTCTCCGACAGTAAACATAAGGCCAATTGTTCTTATATATTACACCCTCCTTAAAATCTTTCCCTTGGGCTTGGATCACTTTGCTCTTCTCTAAATTACTTCTGGAGAGGGTGGACTGCAGCTTGACCTCAGTTACATGGGTGCAAATCAGGACTGTTGTCTTCAGTGAACTTCCTCTGGACTCAATCTAACTCCCAATAGTCATTGGGAAAACTCCTATTGATTTCAGGAGACAGTGGATTTAATCCTAACTTCTGTTATTAGGGACTAGAAACTGTTTTTCACTGAATATTGAAGAAAGCAACCCTACTCAATCGTTCCCTCCCTTTTTCTTCCATAGGCAAAACCTCTACTGGGCAGGACAGGAAGCTACCTAAAGTCAGCCTGTGGCAGCTGAGGGTGTGTGCAAATGTTTCCTACGTCAGGTCTACAATCACACTGCTTACTTTATGCTGTGGAATCATAAATCGGGAGCAGCACGTATAAATGTCCACTGGTGCAGGGAGCTGCACCAGGGACCCTAGTTAGGTCAATCTAAATCCAATGTTTGCATGCATCCTAAAAAGAAACTTGCCCTGCTCTAAAGATCCAAGGTTAACTGACAAGAAGCAAAAATTAAACCAGTTCTAGTTAAACACAGGCCATTTTACCTGATTATTTATAACAAGGTGATGTCTTTTCTTTTCTAAAGTGACTCAGTCCTTCTGGTCATTGGGACTATTGAGAACTAAACTCTTAAGAAACAAAACAAAATATGTTTCCAGAAAGAAATCTTATCTCTGAATTTGTCATCTGAAGTATTTAGACACAAGAAAAAAAATCTGCTTCCAACAACAACACCTCAAATGGCTTTCACTGTACAAATAAAAGCAGGGCAGACTGAAGACTCAAATGACAAGGAAGAGTTGCAAAGGGATTACTACATTCTCTTTCACCCTATGAAAGAGAACATTACCACCATCCATTTGTTAATTGACATTTATTTGTTTTCCCAATTCCCAGAATAGACAATAATAATAATAATAACAACAAGAACAATGTATTTTGTAAATCTTTCAAATTTGCTTTTACTCAGCTGAATTATGAGTTACTGTAACATATATGATTTTTTTTTGCTGTCATTGTTACCTCCCTGTGTTTGCAGAGAAATACCACACACAAGATGAAGAAAAGAAGGAAACAATGTGTTTACAAGGCTAGATTTCAAGAATTACTAAAGTGTACCTACACGGATGTAGCTAGATACTGTCATAGCACCAATAAATCACAGAATAATTATAAGAAAGATTTTAATGTCATTTATAAAAAAATAAAATTATTTACAATTTGCAACTCATTTGATGGCATTTTCTCATTACAAACACTTCAATTGCTGAAGAAATGTCACTAGAAGTCAGGTTAACATACTCCATAGGTGAGCATAATGTGATAGGAAAAATGTAAATTGTATCGTTTGATACAAAACTGTTCCTTTAAATGCATGGACCCTAACTGTAGACTAATCTGAATTCTCCTTCCAAGTTAAGGCATGGAAACTCTGCTTAAGTAGTCCCCCACTTTTGTGAAAGGCACCGTAATACATAAACAAGGGTGATAATCTAATTCCAATGGCCATAACCTAATTAGCAAGACCCAGTTTATGCTACTTAGAGGTCTTTAAGGAAAGTTTAGTTACAAAGACAAAAGTAGTAGGACTACATGTATTGCATAGCTGCAGTAAATAGAATCCACAAATACAAAAGCCATCAAAATATATTATAAATCTATCCAAGTTTGAAACCTACTCTAGAATACTGCTTTTCTTTGGAATACAAATAACACTGTTAGATCGTAGAGTTGTATTTTGGTCCATGCTGTTAATTCTATAAACATTATACTCCTTTTTCATTAGTTTAAAAGCCTCAAAACAACAGGTCCTCAGGCAGTGGTAATGCAGCAAAAGTAAGGCCTTTCCAAATTCCAGACTTCAGCTGCTACAGCCAGTTCAGAGAAATCCCCATCTCACCTCCTCCCTTTTTGCTTTCCCTTTATGTGGCAGGGTGGGTACACAGATTTAAGATCATTTGTTGGAGATGATGGCTTGTCACCATCTACTTGTTTTGTGCCTGTAAAAATCACAGTTCTTAAAAATATCCGGGAGGGAGGGGAAATAGTTTACTTCAACTAAGCTGTAGTGCCACATAATCTGCTGGCAGCAGAAACTTCTTTGGGGTCTGATTCTGGTCTTCCTGAAACCACAAACGGCCAAGTCTGTAAGCAAAAAAAAAAAAAAAAAAGTGTCATATTAGGCAGATGGTTGCACCCTAAAGTTCAGTTTTGTCACTGCTAAGGGTCTGACTCTGATGCTAATTTGCTAGGTTTTATATCTGTATTAGGATAAAGTTTGCTTTCCCCTGGGGAAGTACTGCCAACTGGCTTCACTAAAGAGTGCTACAGTGATACTCAAATGCACCTGAACTGATAGCTGCCACTTGTTCCCTCTTCCAACCTGAAGGATTGTAGATGGCTTTGTGACTGCCTTCCTGATGTCATAAACAAGACTCCCGATTTATTCCAGACCAAATTGCACAGAATAAGCAGGCATCAAGAAAAAGGGGAGGAGGGGGATGCAGTGCCTTGGTTTAGATCTGTGCAGTGCACCAGGCCTTCATTGAATAAGGTTTATGTGTGGTCTCAGTCATCCTGAATTATTTGATTGTGTAAGAGCCAAGGGGCATGTTCCCCAGAGTCTGCCCCGATGCCCACAGCTGCCTCTTAGTCCCACCCAGCTCAGAGAGTGGGACCTGGGCCCCCCAAGGCAGCCGGGAAGTGGAGAAGTGCTGACACAGCCCTGCAGCTGGGCAGCCTCTGCCCCATTGCGGCTAATGGCTTGGGAGGCAGGGAGGGAGGGACCTGGGGGGATCTGACCTGGTACATGGCCCCCTCTCTCGCCTGCTCCTTCCCTCCAGGGTGCGAATTAGGGGGGAGCTCAGAGGAGCTGACCCCCCATAAGAGACCAAAGCCCCCCATAAGGTTTGACCATCATAACCTGAGGGACTGCTCCTTCACTTAGGTGGCCTTGTTAATCAAGGAATCAGTTTCCTGTCTTTTCGCAGGCCCACCCCCCGCCCAAGAGTCAAAGTGCAGCTGGAGCCCGGCTGCCCTCCCTCCCTCCGGGCGGCGCGGGGCTCACCAGGCTGACGGGGTGCACGTAGCCGGGGTCGTAGCGCTCGTCCTGCAGCAGCTGGCGGAGGTGCGCGATGTAGCTGGAGGCGAGGCGCAGCGTGTCCAGCTTGGAGAGCTTGGTGTCGGGCGGCACCCAGGGCAGGCTGGTCTTGAGGCGGGAGAACGCCTTGCTCAGCACCCGCATGCGGGCCCGCTCGCGCGCGTTGGCCGCGTTGCG